TGTTTTTTGTCTTTAATCTGCTTAGCAACAGCCAATGGCAAATGCCAATTTCTCCTGACTTAATTATCCACAATATATTTTATTTCCGTTCCATCATCCTATCAGTTAGGCAATTGGTTGAATAGGGCTATAGTTTTTACTCTTTACATTAAAACCAATGCTACCAACTCATTGTAAAACATACCATGTCAACAAAGATTTATAAAGATACCTAAGACTGAAGAAAGAAAAATAGAGAGTGGCTTTGCCACATAAGGAGATGTGACTGTAGGTCAGTCATTTGCAAAATAAAGGTAATACTTAACCGGCAAAGATTTTGAGAGAAACAAATGAGATGACGGATGTCAAAATGCATAAATTAATACGATAAATGGACTCTTAATCATAACAGATTTTTGTTACCAAAAATAACATGATACACCTGAAACTGTCATATGTCAATTATACCTCATTTTTTAAAAGATTTATTTATTTGAGAGAGAGAGAGGTGAAGTGAGAGAGAGAGAGAGAGCATGAGCAGGGGTTAGGGGCAGAGAGAGAAGCAGACTCCCCACTGAGCAGGGATCCCGACGTGGGACTCAATCCCAGGAGCCTGGGATCATGACCTGAACCAAAGGCAGATGCGTAACCAACTGAGCCACCCAGGTGCCCCATCCTCAATTTTTAAAAAGTAAAAAAAAAAAAAAAAAAAAAAAACACGATTTTCCTTTGATTGATTATAGTATTTAAATGTATTTACATAGTAACTGCCTACTGAAAAATTCCCAAGTTTAATTCACCAAACTCCTGAGAGAGACAAGGGACAGAAACAATATGTTACCCTGAGTTTATATACCACTTTTTAATTGTATTGATGAAAGAAAAATTTTTAAAAGATTTATTTATTTATTTTAGAGAGATAGAGAGTGTGTATGAGCAAGCCCGAGCTGGGGGCAGAGGGGGAGGGAGAGGGACAAGCAGACTCCATACTGAGCAGCACCTGAGCCCAATGCTGGGCTCTTAATCTCATGACCCTGAGATCATGACCTGAGCCAAAATCAAGAGTCAGACACTCAACTAACTGAGCCACCCAGGTGCCCCTGACAGGAAATTACCCAAGATGTATTAATGGGCATTAGTGCTAAATCTAGAATCTCTGCCTCCTATTTCCCAAATTTGTGTTTCTATCCTTTGATTCTAAGCCCCTTAATCTTTCAAAAAATATATATATATACACATAGACCAGAGGTTTCTCAACCTGGCTGACCATTAGAATCATCTGGGAGCTTTTTTTTTTTTTAAAGATTTTATTTATTTATTTGAGACAGAGAGAATGAGAGACAGAGAGCACGAGAGGGAAGAGGGCAGAGGGAGAAGCAGACCCCCCGCCGAGCAGGGAGCCCGATGTGGGACTCGATGTGGGACTCAATCCTGGGACTCCAGGATCATGACCTGAGCCGAAGGCAGTCGCTTAACCAACTGAGCCACCCAGGCGCCCTCATCTGGGAGCTTTAGAAAAATACTAATGCCCAGGCCTTACTCCAGACCCATTAACCCAGAATCTCTGAATGTGGAGTCTGGATATCAGTGATTCTAAAAGTTTCCCAGGGGGTTCTTATGTGCATCCATTGTTGAGAAACACTAGTAGAGAATTAAACATCAGCTACGCAATTTCAAAAGCACATGTGTACCCTTTCCAATGTCAGCTTTTCTCCTGAAATGGTGTTGTTGAGTATATATTCCACACAGGCACAGCACTAAGTGTTGACTGCCACGGCATCCTTTCCTCTATACCCCCTTACCTTTTATTTGTACTTAACTGTGGTTAACAGTCTGCCCTGTTGTATGGTTATTTTTGTACTTATTTAAGCCATCTTTTAGAATATCCCTTTCTTGGGGGCATCTGCCTAGTTCAGTCAGAAGAGCATGTGACTTTTGATCTCAGGGTTGTGAGTTCGAGCCCCACAATGGGTGTAGAGATTACTAAAATAAATAAATAAATAAACTTTAGAATATCCCTTTCTTCAAGATAAGAACTATGACCGTGCCCTTTAATGGGAGCCATCTGCTTAATGTTTTAGTTGCCCACCTTTATCATTTCATCTTGGAATGGCCCTGTATCTCACCTTCCTGGTGCTCACTCCTGCCACACCTCCCCTCTGAATATTACACCCATTTTCTTTTCCTATGTTTAGCTCTCACCTACACATACTTTACTTTTGTTCTCAGAGAATTCCATTTACCATTGTCTTCATTATTTCAAATGTTTTATCCCCCAAATATTACCTGAATAACCTTACAATTCTTCCTCTCCCTCCATGGCTCTTCCTGGCTTCACCCATCCCCTCCTCCTATAACTTAACCACTTTTCTTCTAAATTCCCCATAGGGGGTATTAGTCCTATTCAAAGGTATCTGTTGTTGATGGGATGGAGCTGGGGTGCTCAGGAGTGGGGTGCTCTAGTCAGTTCTGGTGAGGTTTTCAATTAGAACTAGACCCTGAAACAAGGAAAAGAGTAGCAGTTGGTAGAGGAGGAACTGATCATTCCACACTGGAGAGGCAGGATGGAGGACAGGTAAGGGACAGAGAATAAGGGCTATTGTCAAAATGAAACGTGGAAGGGGTGCCTGGGTGGCTCAGATGGTTGGACGTCTGCCTTTGGCTCAGGTCATGATCCTGGGGTCCTGGGATTGAGCCCCACATCAGGCTCCTGGCTCAGCGGGAAGCCTGCTTCTGCCTCTCCCACTGCTCATGCTCGCTCTCTCTCTGTGTCTCAAATGAATAAATAAAATCTTTAAAAAAAAAAAATGAAACGTGGAGGAGGTAAATCAAGAAGAACAGCCAACAAGTTAATGGATCCAGCCAAGAGGAAACAGGCTAGAGTCAGGAACAGACAGATAGAGAAGAAACATAGGTAACAAAGTGCAGAGATCAGAGTCCGTGAGCAAGACAGTTAGATGAATGTATTATTTACAGCTTCCCAATTGCGCGCCACACCTCTTTTTGCTGTACCCTGTCAGTCTTTTTTTTTTTAAAGATTTTATTTATCTGACAGAGAGAGAGACAGCAAGAGAGGGAACACAAGCAGGGGGGTGGGAGAGGGAGAAGCAGGCTCTCTGCCGAGCAGGGAGCCCAATGCGGGGCTTGATCCCAGGACCCTGGGATCATGACCTGAGCCGAAGGCAGATGCTTAACGACTGAGCCACCCAGGCACCCCAGTACCCTGTCAGTCTTAAAGTGTTCATACCTGGATGGTTTCTGACTCTGTTCTCCATAAACTTTTCTCCTGAGTGTTACTAGACGGGTTTTATGGGGTAAAAGAGGTGAAAATTGCCAGAGAGTTATAGTCCTTACAGTAGATGGTAGACTGAAATGTTAGTTTCTTGTATGTGGTTCCTATTAACAGGGCTAGGGTGAAAATACCTGCCATGAGAAGGTAATGTCAGGTGTTATGAGGGAAGGATTAAACCAGGCATAAGCGTTGATTCAAAGAGGTAGAAGCAGAGGTAATCCTAAGGGTAAATCAAAGTCATTGTAAAGAGAAATTAAAAGTTCATGCCCAAGGACAACGTTAAGCATGAGATCAGAGGGACAAGTATATGCCCATAAACAGGAGGCGGGGCAAGGGATCAAGAGCCAAAGGCATTAGAAATATCTTCCCAAAGCAGAATGCAATCCTGAAATAAATATTTGACATTCTAAGCTGTGCACAATGTATCCGAGCAGGAATTCATCTACATTGAGAATTGGACTCATGTGCTAGGAGTAGCTGGCCAGTTTAAGGATACAGACAGGTTAATCTCTTCCAAAATGTCCCTCCTATCAGACAGGATAGACCTGGAGTTACCCATCTAGGTATTCTTGACTAAGAAATGGAGTTGCCCTCTGGGTTGTATATGAGTATCCTTTAAGCATCTTTCAGTCTGGGCCCCGCCCATTGGGCCAGAGTTAGAACTATTCTTAGAGGCTGTGGCTACATCAACCTCACCAATCACTTGTTTGGGGCTTCATATAAGATTGCTGGGGTGAGTCTTTGGGGTGTGTAATAGAGAACAGGTGCTAAAATTTGAGGTAGAAACCTCATAGAGGTTCAGGATCATAGCAGGAAGAGGTGGTGGTAAAGCAATAAATACCACAAAAGGGAGCATTCAGAGGAGGGGGGTTCAGAGAGCTATTATATATAAATTCAGAGGTTATTTCTGGATTACTCACTTATCTGTTCATCTTTGCCACTATTAAGTGTACAAAGAGTGCCACTTCCCCAGCCTCCTCTGGAAATTATTATCCTCAATAAATTCTGTAGCTGCCTAACAGTATCTGGGCACTAGATCATAGTGACTTCCAAATGTCCCAGGAGAGTCATTAATGCAGATGATATTTCAGAATCCATTGAGTCAAAAACATAAGGTCTTTGAGCACAGCCCTGCCCCAACCGCCCCTGAAAGGGGGGAGTGGAAGTTACAGGATCCACTCAGGGGCCAGAGCCCTTCTCCCTCGGCAGCATCTTGGTAAAACTGAGTGATGGCTCTATGGATAGCTCTTCCTTTGCCTTGCTTCAACTACCTACCAATCCCCAAAGGTAAGTAATATCACCCCTGAGCAAACAAAGACATGGCATGATTACGTAACTTGTCCACAGTCATACAGCTATGAGCAGAAGACCTAGAATCTGAACCCATATTTGCCTTAGTTCAAAGTCTATGATCTTACCAACCACTGCCTCAAGGTAAAAATGAAGAACAGTATTGGAGGACAAAAAAGCACAGCTGAACCCCATGTCAGTGAGACAATCGTTAGGGCTTACTGATTTCAACACTAATTCCCATCACGGCCAAAGAGGAAGAGAAAGTGAGTACAAATTGTGGCCACCTGGTCATCCAGAAGAGCGCCAGAGCCCAGCTATGCTAGAAATCAATATAAATCCAATGCAGAGATTTTCAGTAAGTGGGTCTGCCTTGGAGTGTCTGGAAAAAGATATTTTTGTTGTTGTTGCTTCTTTGTTTTTATTTTTCATCAATGGTCAAACCCACTTTTGATAATGAAATGACGACTTTCTCAAAATGGCTAGGCTTATACTCACTCAAGGTTCATTCCAGGACCTAGGAGACATGAGAACACCAATAGATTTGTCAAAATAATCATTTAAATGAGAGAAAGAATTAGTCTCAATAAGAAGCTGGAATTATAGAATCTTTAAAACTAATATAACCATGTTATGGCAATTTGGAAAATAGAGAAATGAAAGCATACATAATTCCAACTCTACCACCATCATTGTTACCATTTCATACAACTTATGTACATATTTTATATGCATATTTACAGACTTTGTAATAATTGTGTGCATATTTTGTACCCATTTTAAAATTTTAATTCCAGTATAATTAACATACAGTGTTCTATTCGTTTCAGGTATACAATATAGTGATTCAACAATTCTGTACATTACTCAGTGCTCATTAAGGTAAGGGTACTCTTTAATTCCCTTTCACCTATTTCCTTCATTCCGCCCCCCACCTCCCCTCTGGTAACCATCAGTTTGCTCTACTACATTTAATAGTCTGTTTTTTGGTTTGTCTCGTTTGTTTGTTTTGTTTCTTAAATTCCACATATGAGTAAAATTATATGGCATTTGTCTTTCTCTGACTTATTTCAGTTAGCATTATATCCTCTAGATCCATTCATGTTGTTGCAAATGGCAAGATGTCATCCTTTTTTATGGCCAAGTAATATTCCATTGCATGTATATACCACATGCTTTTTATCGGTTCATCTATCAATGGACACTTGGGCAGCTTCTGTAATTTGGCCATTGGAAATAATACTGCAATAAACACAGGGGTACAAGTATCTTTTCAAATTAGTGTTTTGGTATTCTTTGGGTAAATACTTACTAGTGGAATTACTGGATCATATGGTAATTCTATTTTTAATTTTTTGAGGAAACTCCATACTGTTTCTCACAGTGGCTGCACCAGTTTGCATTTCTAGTATCCTGCTTTTTTTTTCCTATTACATCATAGGCACTTTTACATTTTGATTAATAGCCTTCTTAACAGTTTATTTAGTTAGCTATATAGGATTTCATGAAGTGGGCTACAACCAAAATGTACTTACATCATTCCTCTGCAATGGATATTTTGGTCATTCCAAGTTTTTGCTGTTATAAATTATTCTGCAGTGAACATCTTTATGCAAATAGCATTTTATTGGCATTAAGTGTTAAGATTCTTTACTTCTTCTTATATTCACTACCACTCTAGGCCTAATCTTAAACATCACATCTCCGAAATAATAGATTAACATGCTAGCCAGTCTCCCTTGCTTCCAATCTGTCCTGCATAACACTAAGAGATTAATTATCCTAAAATACCACTTTCATCATATCACTGTCCTACTTAAAATATCCTTATTTGCCTGTCTTCCACATGGTATGATTGGACTACTCTATTATAACCCTTACAGGCCAAAACATAAAGTGTGTTGGGCCCCCAAAGGCTAACCGGCAGGAACCAGGGAATAAACTGGAGCCAATGGGACTAGATTCACAATACACCAACCCAGGAACAATAGTGGGTCCCTAAATGCTTGTCACAGTGTCCACTGAAGCAAGAAAACCTTGGGTCCAGTTCAAGTTGGATCCACCCAGGAGGTCTTATCCAGTAAGGACACGGCATTGATGGTCACTGAGGGGTGGTAACACACACAGTCAAGCAGAACCAGAAATCAAAGTTCGAGAGAAGTTTATCCAGGTTGAACGAGACTTAGAGTGGGGTGAGCAGTGTCAGATACCCAGGGGTATAGGAGCCAACATAAACTAGACAGGGGATCAGAGCCCAGCCAAATTGGTCTTGTTTTGTGGCATGGTTCCAGAACTACCAAATTACTAGAGTGCAAATAAGGAACCAGGGGAGAAGCCCAGTTGTATAAACCAGGCCCGTGTACGGGACAGTAGGGAAGTCTGCCTGAAAACAGCAAGCAGGCTTGTAAGTATTCGGGTTTTGGGGGAATCACCACATGAGATGTCTGGTTGAGAGCAGTGGACTATGTCTGGAACTAGCGGACCTGGGTTCTTAATGTACTACCCAGGGACTGAGAAGATCTATTTATTACAAGATCACAAAGACTTAGCCTTCTGGTGTCAGCACCCTCTATCTGCAGCTGGCAGACACTGACATCCAGAAAGACACTCCAACCAAAACTCAAATAAGTGAAAACACATACCGATGTATGGATAATCAGATGCCTACGTATGGTACAATCCACCAACCTTTTAGCCCGAAGGCATTATCATTGTTAAAAAGATATATAATGCCCTATCAACTTCACATAAACAATATCTCAATGTAAATTTTCTATTTGTCCACAAATTGAGAATTAGCTAGAAGTGGATTCGGGTTGAGGGCAGAAGAAGGCAAGAGGAATTCAGAGCTGGCAGTGGACTATTAGACATTGTATTAGTCTGGGTTCTCCAGAGAAACAGAACCAACCATCTATATGAATATACAGAGAGATTGGTTTTAAAGAATTGGCTCATGGAATTGTGGCTGCCAAGTCCAAAATCCGCAGGGCAGGCCAGCAGGATGGCGCCCAAGAAGAGTTGATGTTGCAGGGGTTTTTTTTAAGATTTTATTTATTAATTTCGAGAGACAGAACACGAGTGGAGGGCGGGGCAAAGGCAGAGGGAGAGAGAATCTCAAGCAGACTCCATGCTGAGCGCAGAGTCCAATGCGGGGCTCTATCCCACAACTGTGCGATTATGAGCTGAGCCAAAATCAAGAGTCAGACGCTCAACCAAATGAGCCACCCAGGTGCCCCGATGTTGCAGTCCTGATGCAAAGGCAGCCTGGAGGTAGAATTTCTTCCTCTTTGGGGAATCTCAGCCATTTTCTCTTAAGACCCTCATCTGACGGGGCAAGGCCCACATTATTACAGAGAGTAACTGTTTGACTCAAAACTCTACTAATTTAAATGCTAGTGTCATTGAACAAACAACCTCTAAACATGTTTGACCAAACAACTGGGCGCCATAGCCTGGCCAATATAAAATTAACCATCACAGCCACTCAAACAAATCCATTTCTCATTCTTATGTTTAAGTACTTATCTCTCATGGATCCTGAATACAACCCTTCTCTTGTTGAGTCAGGTCAGCTCTGCCTCTTTCTTGTTCACTAGCATTCACCAGTAAATCATGGCCACTCCTGCTGCTGTGAATCCCAATTTCTCTGCCTAAGCAGACCCCTCACTTCCTTCAAGAGTTCAAGTTCACACCAATGCTTCTCTACCAAGACTTCTGCCACGTGTGGGCTCAAACCTGAGGTGGCAATTCCCTTCTGATTAAATCCAAAAGGAAAGATATAATGAGGCATCAGAAAAAAGCCACAGAGGAATGAGAGCTGGAGCTAAAATTTCCCCCTCAACATATTCACTAACCTGAAAGAAGACTAGCTACACAAGGAAATACATTTGAGAAAGCCATTCTCCACCTATTCATGATGCTCAAGAACACTGCAGCATCTCTTCAAGGTCAAGAACACTTATTTATAGCTGAGTCCTGCTTCCTTTAAATTTTTCAGTGTTGCATCATATATTTAGTTGACTACAGCCAAATTAAGCACAGATAATAATAGAGAGTTGATTTTTTTATTGAGATAAAATTTACATGCAGTTAAATGTATAGATCTTAAGTGTATGGTTAAATGAGTTTTGATTAACATATACACATGTGTAAACACCACTTCCTTCACTACGACTCTCTCCTCATTGACTTGGCTTTTTATTAAATAGCCTCTTCTCTCTTTATTTCTTTTTAAATAATAGATTAGGGTGCCTGGCTGGCTCAGTCCATAGAGCATGAGACTCTTGATCTTGGGGTCGTGAGTTCAAGCCCCACGCTGGGTGTAGTTTACGTAAAAAAATATGTATACATATGTAAAATAATAGACTTTCTTTCTTTTTAGGGCAGTTTTAGGTTTATAGAAAAATCAGCAGAGCGTACGGAGTTCCCAGATACCCCCTCTCCCCTCTGCCCCATTTCCTCCATTGTTAACACCTTGCATTAGTATAGTGCATTTGTCAGAACTGATGAGCCAATATTGATAGATTATGATTATCTAAAGTCCAAATTTACAGTAGGGTTCACACTTTGTGTTGTATATTCTATGGGTTTTGACAAATGTATAATGACATATACACCATTACAGTATCATAGTTTCATTGTCCTAAGAATCCCTGTGCTTCACCTAGTCATTCTTTCCTCCCACCTTCTGATCCCTAGAAACAACTGATATTATTTTCTCCATAGTTTTGCCTTTCCAAGAATGTCACATAGTTGGAATCATGCACTATGTAGCTTTTTCAGATTGACTTCTTTCATTTTGCAATATGCAGTTAAGTCTCCTCCGTGTCTTTTTGTGGCTTAATAGCTCATTACTTTTTCATCACTGAATAATATTCTACAGTCTGGATGTACCACAGTCCATTTATCCATTCACTTACTGAAAGACATCTTGTTTGCTTCCAAGTTTTGGCAATCATGAATAAAGCTGCTATAAACAGTGTGCAGATTTTTGTGTGAATGTTAAATTTTCAGCTCATTTAATACCAAGGAGCATGACTGCTGGATCATATGGTAAGAGTATGTTCAAGCTTTATAAAAAATACAAACCAGACACAAACAAAATGCCAAAAAAAACCCTGCTAAATTGTCTTCCAAACTCACCGTATTATTTCGTGTTCCCACCACCAAGTTCCTATTGCTCCACATACTCAGTAGCATTTGGTGTTATCAGTGTTTTGGATTTTGGCCACTCTAATAGATGTATAGCGATGTATAGTGGTATCTTGTTGTTGTTGTTTTTAAAGATTTTATTTATTTATTGACAGAGAGAGAGATAGCGAGAGAGGGAACACAAGCGGTGGGAGTGGGAGAGGGAGAAGCAGGCTTCCCGCTGAGGAGGGAGCCCGATGCGGGGCTCGATTCCAGGACCCTGGGATCATGACCTGAGCCGAAGGCAGACGCTTAACGACTGAGCCACCCAGGCGCCCCTCTTATTGTTTTAATTTGCAATTCCTTTTTGATATACGATGTTGAACA